AAAAAATCTGATAAATGTAAATAATGTAAATAATTACAGTACTTCATCTCAGAAAAGTAGAGAGATCCTGAAGAAGACCGGAGCCTATAACGGCCGAGAGGTTTTGAATATGGCAATAAAAATGAGGTCAAAAGTCCGAACAATGTAAATAATGTAAATAATTACAATACTTCATCTCAGAAATATAGGCAGATAAATTCAAATTACATTTAGATCCGTATCTTATCTTCGCCTCTTTCTTCTTCTTCTTCTTCTAATTTTTATCATTATTATTATTATTATTATTATTATTATTATTATTACGCCAGATGTTTCATCATCATCGCTATGCCCTTTTTAATATTGTTGCAGACGATAATACCGCCATGTCTGAGCATTCTCATTTCTTCTAGTTATTTCTAGGTTATTCATTTTCAAACCTAGTGTTTTTGATGCGTTTCCTAGTTCGTGAATAGTTATGGACTGAAGCGTAACTTTCATTTTACAAATGTCTCTTCGCGTGTCGGGTATTCATTGTCCCGGTATCTTTTCAATTTGTGATTTGCTTTTGTCTTCAGCTTGTGCTCCGCCTGTAAATCCTACGGCAACAACCTGGCACATCTTCCTTTCGCTGTTTAGATTTATTTGGTCCGATCTTCTTGCTTAGATGGGGTAGCCGATCTGAATGCCCAGAATCTGTAGAGATTGTTTTTTGTATTTTTTTTTTTTTAGAGTAGATCCTGAAGAAGGCCGGAGCCTATAAGGGCCGAGAGGTTTTGAATATGGCAATAAAAATGAGGTCAAAAGTTCGAACAATGTAAATAATGTAAATAATTACAATACTTCATCTCAGAAATATAGGCAGATAAATTCAAATTACATTTAGATCCGTATTTTATCTGGCAAATTGTGTATTTCAACAGCAAACCGTCTTTTATAAAAGTTCCATTAAAAACGACTGACAAAGAAATTGTTCAAATGTTCTATATCCGAAGGTTTTCGGATATTCGATTAGACAAGATCAAAGTTTTTATTTTAACTGAATATGTAGATTTATATATATATATATCTATAGTGATAGGATTTATCTTTATTTTCTAAACACGGTCAGTATGTTGCGGTCGTATCCATAAAAACAACACACACACACACACACATACAAACGGACACACACAAGAATACACACACAAGAATACACACACACACACACACACACGTGTGCGTGAACATGGTGCGATGAATAAATTGTCGTCTAAATTACGTAAAAGTGAAAATAACGCTGACATTTCTTTTTAGCATATATATTTTCCAAAATGACACAAAAGTATCTTGAAATACGAAAGAGTGAATTTATTAAAAAAAAAGAAGTCATCATTGGTTTCAACCACGGCCCCCAGATGACTTCGGAATCTCTTGCAACTCTTCTGAGCGGTCTCCTTGTTTAAGTTGTTGAATGCTGCCATACATAATACTTGCATTCAGTTCATCTTTGGTGTTACAAGGAGTTTTGTTGGTCTCTCGTTCAACTGCGTTCCTCACATAATAATCAAGTGGGTTGCAGTCTGAGGAGTTAGGTGGCCAGAGGTGAGGGGTGATGAGCTCGCAGAAATTGTCTGACAGACACGACAGAGTTCTCCTACTTGTATGGTCTTGTTGCCAAACATAGGATCTTCCAGCAGCCACCATCTTAGCCCAGGGAAGCACTACCTCCTCAAAGCACTTGATGTAGACGCCAGTGTTGAGTCTGAGGCCCTGCGAGAAGATGAATGCAGGCATAACGTAGCCATCACTAGTGATCTCTCCAAACACCATTGTGTTGACTGAATATATCATCCAACTCATTTCGGATCCTCTACATTTTCCTCAGATTGACACCCAAACACTCTGAAATATTCGTGCTGGAGCTTCCGGTGCGAATGCCAAACAGTACAGGATGCCATTTCCAAATTTCTGGTGGAGTGAATTGCGTCATGGTGCTCTTTTTCTCACAGACGTTGTCCAACTGACCCGACTATACTGTGCAGTCAACAAAATCAAAAACAAACATGTGCATGCGCGAAACTAAAATATAACATGGCGACAATTTACCCATCTCACCCTATATATATATATATATATATATATATATATATATATATATATATATATTGTCATCCACACACAGACTGTTTCGCTGTATCACAGCTCTTCAGTGTGGATAGACGTCCAATTGCTGTAAGCCGGGATCGAAACCCGACCGATTTGACACCAGTCAGAGATCCTACACCAAGGCCCTCGTCGCACGGAAGAGAGGAAGGAATATTTTAACTTTTTTCTATGCGAAATAGACCAGTGGCTTAGAGAACTCAATACGTAATGAAGAATAATGCATCAATAGCAGTAGGAGCTACTGTTTTTAAAAAAAAACTTTTTCTAGAGAGCTTAACTAGATTTCCCGGGAACATGTATAGTGTCATTCACAGAAATACTGTTTCTCTGTATCACAACGCTTCAGTGTGGCTAGACGTCATTTGTTTTTATGGGTACGACTCGTTTGACCAGTTACGCGTTTCCAATCACACTGGTTTGCGTAGGCGAGCCAATCGATATTGAACACCAAGTAACGCCATTTTTGGTCTATAATGCAACAAAATTATAGTTTCAGGGAGAGGTAGCGTATTCGACAGTTTGGACAAGCAGTTCTCTTAAACCCTCTGTCTCGATTACTTCCTACTTTGTGATTAGCACAACCATTCCGTCTACGTAATGTTACTCACAATACTTAGGTGGAACCGTGGTACGGTATTTTTGTCAATCCCTCCGCAGGGATTTCCACTCTAGGTTCATATTATCAATGTGGAAACTTTGGTGGTTCTCACGGTCGAAAAGCGAACAGTATTTAAAAATTGCTATATAATTATTTAAAGGTCGAGTGAATATTTTTCGTTTTGGTTAAAAGTATTGACCATTTCTTTTTCATCACTTTAGTTCACCTCAAAGCAATGCAGTAAAGCCACTAAGACTCGAGGAGTTACTGGATTGGAAAGAATTAGAAACAGATTGATCGCTGCATTTAAGTATTGCATTCATATTTAAGCTTATATTTTAAAAGTTCAACGACTATTCTTCTGCCGTCATTCAATTTAAAGACAATTTGATGTACGTAGGTCCTTACTTTCCGTACAAACGATTATTTTTATTTCATAGGTGACTTTCACTGGATTTTACAATTTTATTTTGATTATTCCTAAATTTATTTCCAGGTTATAAAAATTGTTAGCATACAAAAAATTCGTCGCAAAAAAAACATTTTAAAAAATGGCCGAAAACAATTACAATAATGAAAATTTGTGAATTTCAGGATTGCGTGTCTGGATCCGGGCCGGAATGTCTTTAATTTGCTCATGAAGTCAGCCTGATTCCAAAATGGCATCCTATGTTGGGCTACGGCCTCTAGGAGTAAAGTTGAAAACGTGTGACACACTGACATTCGCATTTATTATATAGGTGTTAATAATAATATTAATAATAATAAAAAAGTTGAATGCTAGAATATTAGAGAAACTGTGATTTGGGCCTCGATGTATTCGCCGGATAAACTAAGTTTTACAGTTGGCGCCGTCGCTCTTACGTGGTATAATGGTTATTGCCCCGGAATAAGAAAATGGAGAGCCGTATTCGAATTTCAGTCGAGTTCGTTATATTGCTTTATCCTTCTAAAAGATATGAATTGATCTTCTCTCACAGTTCTGGGCTAAATAGTAGTTCTTGTATCTTGAAAAATCATTGTTATTAAAAAATATATATACTTGCAACATGGCCCGGCGTTGCCCGTGCTTGATTCAAAAATCGTACGACTCATACAGCAATCGCTATCACTTGACTTAAAATATTTTTGCCCTTCCTTGCCTTTAAAGGAGTGCCCTTTGCCGTGCTGATGTTGCTACATGCCTTACTTCTTGTCTATCTCACACTGCGAATTTTTTCGAAGCTCTATACTAAACATTAAATCTGGAAAGGAAAAAAAACTAAACAAAATGAACACAAAACGATCAGCTTTAAAAAAGGACGCGTAACTGGAAAAACCGAATGAAAAAGGAATGTTAACAACAAATACTTTTTCACACCCAACCCAGTTTTGCGGAATCAGAATCAACATTGAGTTTAAGCAAGCGAATGAGCCAATTGGAGTAAAGTGCCATGCAGATTTAAATTTTTCCTACTTGTGACGAATGCAGCTATCGATTTATTTGCATGCTAGCATGCTAGTTAACATTCGTTTCAGTCAGCTGTTGGCTCTCACGCTGGCCAATAGTATCTTCCTGCCTATTCGTGGCATCTAGCTATTGGCTCCCACTCTGGCCAGTAGAAAATGGCCGCAAACTACATGAAAACTGCTGTAGAAGCATGAAAAAAGTCGATTATTTCCAATATCGATGGGAGTTGGGAAATGCAAAGTCAGTCTTGGCCTTCCCACTAACTTAGAGCATGTGCATGTAAAGTTTCGTGCAAATCCGTCGAAAATTGCATAAAACCTATTGTTATGAAGAGAAATTAAAGATAGAATATGTTGAGATCTTGATGCTATCCTACTAATGCGCTTAAATTCGTAAAATCTATGTACCAAAGGGGAAAGCTTATCAGAATAAGTGCCATAAAGTTATTTATAGAAAAGACACAAAGAAACTACATTAGAGAAATGCGAAGCCTAGATGCCAGGTCATGACCAGTAACATTGCAGATTCTTTGGATTTTCTTAAGAATCTCTAAATGCTTAACATCAACACCAAACCAAATGTGATAGCAATATTCAATGCATGGACGATATGTAGATTTTAAAAAGTTTTAAGATAATCTGGCAATTCTGTGGAGAAAAATTATCTAGAACGACACAGTGGGCCAACATTTTTAGTCGCAGACTTAGCGTTTGCTTCAATATAATCGTTCTACTTCATATCAATGGGAAACGTTAGCCCGAAGTGCAATCAGTCCTGGAGTGCTTACAAATGTAGAAAAGGAGACTTGGGGATGGGGAGAAGAGGCTAACGTATTTGCGATAGGCTTCCAAAAAGAGAGATTGGAGGTGAACGAGAGAAAGATGGCGAAAGGCCCGAGAGAAAGAGGAAAATAAAAGGAAGATTGAGTGAGAGAGAGAGAGAGAGAGAGAGAGAGAGAGAGAGAGAATAAATAAAAAGGAGGCGAGCGAAGAGAGGGCGAGGAAGAGAGACAGAGAAGATGGGGCCAAAGTAGAAAGAAATGAGAGTGGAGTCGACGGAAAGAATAAATGCTGACGAACCAGAAACGAAGAGCAAATAATTGAAAGAGAGAGAGAGTGCAAACTGAAAGTAAGAATGAAGAGTGATAGAAAAGGAGAGAGGAAGTAAGGGAAAGATGAAGAGAAAGAGAGAAATGCAATGAGTGAGAGGAAAGCCGAGAGAACAATAACAGGATTGTGAGAAAAAGAGAGAGTTAACTAAAGAGCGAGAGACAGAGGGGGAGGGAGAGAGAGAAATGAAATGATTGAGAGACATGCTGAGAGAACAAAAACAGGATTGTGAGAAAAAGAGAGAACTACCTAAAGAGAGAGAGAGGGGGGGGAGAGACAGATGCAATGATTGAGAGACATGCTGAGAGAACAAAAACAGGATTGTGAGAAAAAGAGAGAACTACCTAAAGAGAGAGAGAGAGAGGGGGGAGACAGATGCAATGATTGAGAGACATGCTGAGAGAACAAAAACAGGATTGTGAGAAAAAGAGAGAGCTACCTAAAGAGAGAGTGAGAGAGAGAGAGAGAGAGAGAGAGAGAGAGAGAGAGAGAGAGAGAATGAGTAGAAGAAGGAAAAGAAATTCATTGAACGAAATGAGCATAAAAGGCAGACAAAGTTCACTGTGTCTGTTTTGACACTTATTATATTTGTGCTAACTTTATCAGCGGGCAGTTAACCCCTTGTGTGCAGCTGATGATGTAAAGACATTTTCCCCACTGGGTATCTGGACTGGGAAGGGGACAGGAACAGTCACCCACCCTAATCATTCGAAGACTCCTCACCGATTCCTTTCACGAGAATTATATAAGAATAAACACGGGCTCTATGGTGTTTTTCAATGACAGATGGTCAGTATTCTTTAGTTTTCTTTCTTTCTTTTTTTATCTGATTTTTTTTTTAATAACTAGACGAATACCCTTCTCATGACCAAAAAAAAAATCGTCATAGAAATCCTCCCATCTCTGTAAAATTTCTATATAATCAACATTTTCAGCAAGCCATCTAATTCTGGTCGCCATTATACTAATTCCACTTGAATTTCTTAGATAGCCACAGAAAGCTAGCCTTGAGAGAAACGTTAAAATAATTTTCTAATATTTATATTAATAACTGTAATGAAACTAAATTCAACAAACTTACTATGTTCTTTCGACTTTTTCAAGTAATTTAGTACAGTTTTAAGAAAATCTAATTAAACAGATTATTTTGAAATATTTAGATGATTCCATAATTTTTTCAGCTCCTTTCGACGAATTTGTAGTGCTGTAAAATAGCAGACAACAACAATGCTTATTATGAACACTGTAGGTTTTCTAACTTATGACTGAATTTTAACAATACAGTTATGAATTCTTTCTATGCAAACAATAAAATTTATTAAAAATAAAACTTGATTAATAGAAATATTGCTTATATATGGTAATATTTTATATTTTAATTAAAAATAAATAACACAAGAAAAATTTATGAAAATATGCCTTTAAATTTATTATGCAAATTAGATATTACCACTAATATTTTAAACATCAATTGTTAGTAACATAGCAAATAAGAGATAGTAAATAATCAGTACATGTTAACGATACGGCTGTTTTGCTTGACAGATATAAAGTGGAGACAGAAAGCAAATTTAACCTTATGCAAATTTATTAATAATTATTTTATCTTTACGTTATTTCCCCATTAGTAATAATTAGTTGATTGCGCTGAATAGCAAATGACAACAAGTCTATATCATACTCCAGCTTTCTCTTATTGTTTTCGCTGTTTCTCTTATTTTAGGGGCCAGATCACGTTGAAATAGCGTTTCCCGTGAGATCACCAAAGTTAAGCAACGTCGAGCCTGGTCAGTACCTAGATAGGTGACAGATTCTGAATGCCAGGTCCTGTAAGTTTGGATTTGCGGGCGGTGTAACGAATAATGGTTCAGAATTAGGAGAGCCGAGTTCCAATACCCGTTGGATTCACTTACGCACTAATACCCTCGGAAAAGGTATGCACCCACCTCTTCTCCCCCAGTTATGGGTTAATTAGTAAGACTGGTATTAGTAAACCATTATTAACTTAGAAAATAAATTTGCGTACGAAATGTTTAGATTATCGGCATTAAATAAGCCATAGATGTTGATATGCCGCTAAACAAAAATAACTAACAATTTAACTTCACCTGTGATCTTCTGGAATAGTCCTGTTTGCCATATTTTAGCCAATATTTTTTCCTTTGTTCCCAACAACTAGTTGTCTTACTAAATAATGACTTCCACCGCCTGGATATCAAAATCTCAAATACTTTTACTTTTTATTATTTTATTATTACTATGTATATATGTGGCATCCGTGAGTCTCGAGAGAGCATTGATCAGCGCCCCCAAAGTTATGGCTCAGCTGCTGATGCTGGCCCAGCATCTGTTATGGTTGTACAGGCCCACACAGCAGTGACAGTCTCGACTGCAACCAATGCACGTGAAGACGCTCCAACACCCACCAACCGATGCTGTTGTGTTGTTTTCTTTCCTCCGAGCACACTAGAACAAGGTTGTTGAACAGTAAATAATTTATTTCTCAAAGTTCGAACATGATATTCAAAGGGGTGTAGATTTTATAACCGATTTCACAAATGTACAATATGCGCACCACCTGTGTGACACGACGCATGTAGTCCAGCTCCTGCTAAACACGCTGTAGCATGTCTTGCGTAACATTCTCCAGTGGATTTGATTCTCTGCTTAAGTTCCTCTAGGCTTTTAGGAAGAGTGGGTATATAAACCTGTCCTTTCACATACAAAAAAAAATCACAGTGTGCCAAGTCAGATGAACGTGGTGGCCATTTCAAGAGCACACTGTCATTATCACTGCCACGCCCGATCCATCTTCCTAATAGAGTGTTACCGAAAGAACAGTCAACTTAGTTTTAACACATTTTGTTAAAATTTGAGATCATTTGAGCGATAATTGGCTGTTATTAGAATATAAACTTATGTCAATTTTTAGGTGTGTGGGGCACCATATATATATATATATATATATATATATATATATATATATATATATATATATATTGTGTGTATTTAGGCAGCATTTTTTCATTGATGTATGTTTCACTAAATAATATAGACATGTTTATCGTCTGATAAGCATAATAACATTGAAAACATGAAAAGAATTTACATAAAATAGACAAAACTTGTCTATATTATTCAATGAAACATGCATCAATATATATATATATATATATATATATATATATATATAAAGGAAGAAAGCAAGAACAGTAAGATATATAATTGGGTGTTCTTATTGATATTTTTTATTTTTACAAAACAGTGCCCAATGTAAACTTACAGAGCATAAATATTATAAATTAACTGATTTAAAATGTTGTTCGCTACACAGTAATAACCATGTTTCAAAAACTGAAGCTAAACACTTCAAATTTAATTATATAATTAAATTACAAGCATTAGTTCCGTTTCATCTTCAAGCGAATATTGGAATAACTTATTTATAAATTTACTGAGTTTTAAACCTACACATAAATTCATAATTTCCTGTTTCCAAGGATACAGATAAATCCAGTCATGTATACATGGGCGGTAGCGTGTTCATTTTTATTAACTATTGTTGTATCAATTATGAGTTACGTTCGAAAAAGAGAGGGATGGTAGGGGTGTATTTTTCAACGAATTCTGACATCCGTTAAATGCATGTCGTCTGGGTTTTTTTTATTAACGGCAAAAAGGTTTTCGGCATTTTCTTCGTACTTGTATACTTAAGGATTCTTTCTAGGGATGTTTGGGTTAGAATACGTTTTATTTAACTACAATTTTAAAATATGTTTACTCTTAATTACTAATAGACTATATTTCTTTTTAAAACAAGTAAATGTAATAGAATTACTTAAATTATATAAAATTACTTTTTCATATCAAATATAAGTATGTATATTACCAACTCCCATTTTTTAATTTTATTTTTAAATTTTATTTTTAAATATTACTTAAGGATAATTTTTGACAATGACGGCAAAAAATAGCTGTTTCATTTCTCTGATTAAGTAAATTTTATTTTTTATAAACTTAGTAATATATATATATATATATATATATATATATATATGGCAATAGTTATTTTTATATCTATAGTCCAATGTGACTTATTTAAACGTCATGACCATAATTCGTTTTCAAAAGTCCTCAATGTAAGGCATCCGTTGTTCTCGAGAAACCATGGATCTACACCTAAAAAGTTATGGCTCCGCTGCTGCTGATGGCGCAGCATCTGTGATGGCTGTACAGGCCCAAACAGGAGTAACTATCTCGACTGCAAACAATGCATGTGAAGATGCTCTCATGATGTTGTTTTCTTTCCTTCGAGCACGCTTCACACCGACGGCAAGTCTTCGTCTCTTCTCTCTTCTCTTCAGCGCCTGATTTAAATCGCGTCTTCAGCGTGAGCGATGGCCGGCGACGTCTTCTCACCTCTCGATATCTATGTCCATTGCCCATATGTCACGTTTGCTGGCGTCCTTGAAGCAAACATCAGGTCGTCCTCCTACCTACTTACCGGTGGCCAGTCCTACATACAGAAGGTCCTTCGGAATCCTCCCGTCAGTAGACTGTTGTGTACCGTGTTTTGCCGTCGCGGTGAGATGATGTTGGAGTGTCATCTCCAGGGCGCAGGCCTGAGCAGGTTTTTAGGAGAGACCGGCGTTTACTCATCTCTCCATGCCACCGATGCTGTCCAAGGAAAAGTAGGGTCCAATACAGCTTGGACTCTACTCGCCGTAAAAAAAGTAATAGTAACCGTGAAAAGTGAAATAATTAGGTAAGTAAAACGTAAATAGACAATAATTACGTCATTTTAACGTAAATAATTATGTATGAATCTGCATTTGAATTCAAACCACCGTTGGTCTTTATTTTTTCTTCTTTTTGAGCTATTTTTTTCTATTAGTTTTATGCAAAAATTGCCAACAGTTTTTCGAGAAAATATTTTATTCACACGAATTTATGGTATCATTATTCAATCAAAAAAGCATTCCTTTTGCTTCCTTTACACAACTTTTCAACCTCTCACTCACACCACCATTCACATGCTGAACATTCCTTACACTCACATAACTTTTTCTGACACAGCAAATCTGCTGAGAACAATTATTACAAGAAACTGTCACCGACATCCTTTCAGTGAACTTTGAAATACAGATAATAGTTAAAGAGAGACAACTCTTGTTTTGTTATAACCTTTTCTTACTTAAATGCATGCTTTCTTTCACATCGTTGTCCATCTTGTTGAATACATATTTTATGTGTAATGGTGTCTTTTGCTTATCCCTTTTCACGTCAGTTTTGTTTCCTAATCTAAAGTTAAATTAATGTGGTGAAGTCCGCCACAAACCAAATCGCGTATTCCAACATGGGCAAATGATGCAAAAGAAAAAAAAATCCGGGATTATTTGAGAAAATATTTTATATTCATTCAAATTTATAGCTTTATTATCTTGTTTTGATATTCAGATAATTATACATTGGTCATTTATATTTGAGTCTCTAAGCTTTTACTAGTTTCGGGGATAGGTAAACAATGTTCGTTTATACTTCA